TTTACTTGTTTTGTTTTAGTATCAATTGTAGCCTTAGTCTTTTCGTCTGTTCCTCAGCATCTTGTTTGTCTTAAAGCAGTAATCCCTTTTCCTCTTGCACTCTGAAACCAACAAAGCTTTATTATCCCCACTGCTACTGATCACTAGATATCTTTATTTGAGATGATTCTCTGTAAACCTAAGAGACAATTGTGTGGAAAATCCAAATAAATAAACCGTTTATGAAAAACTCAGATGATCCTGCCTTGCACCAAATTCTGCCTCATGTTCAAAGCTAGCATTCTTTTCCATTCTCATGCTGACTTTAAATTTTAAAAAACCATCTTCACCCTGTTTTCATGGCTAAATTCTTTTAGGTGCTACTGTAGACATTTATGTCCATGGGTGCTACAGTATAAAGCATCAGGGACACTTACTCTAAAGAGGCAGAAAAGCAGACGTACTCAATGAAGCTGCCATGTAGTTAGAATTGCTTTAGCAAGCAATATTTTCTAGATCTCTGTATTACAAAGAACAATGCCAAGAGGTCTCATGATTGAGGTTGGATTGAATTATACAGTATGTTGCTGTCAACTCTCATATTAGTAGCATGTCTCCTCTCCTCACAGAAAACGGTCAGAATTCAGGGTTTAGAATAAAGAGAATTTAATATGAATCCAGAAAGGATGAATAAGAGTAATGGTATATGTCTTTGGAGATTAAATAAAGCAAATAGGATAGAAGCAGAAGATAAAAAAGAGACGACTGGAGAATGAATAGAGAAGTTGGGGAGGGAACATTTTTGGAAAGGACATTTCTGTCAATGCACGGTGTCCTGTTCCATGGGTATATATTTTTTAGAGTGTAAAAGATATCTGGGAAGATTCAGGACAGCCATGGAGTGGATGGTGAACGTATTGGATCTGTGTGTCTGTGTGTATGTTTTTAACTGAAGGTGGCTGGATGAAACTAGATATGTTGTATTAAGAGAAAAAAAAAATCAACTCTCTTTTTATCTAATGTGTTTTTGTTACAAGGAATACACAAAATATTAACATCAGAATTTATATCTCAACCAGACTTTGTCCTGTAATTAAAACTGCAACAGTCATGAAACACAGGGTGACAGTGATAGTGATACAGAACAGGGCTATCTACTGTAGAGAGTGAGAGGGACAAAGTTACACATATGGCTGTTATATATATTGAGAAAGGGTTTTGTCTTAACATAATAATACATAAAATATATTACATCTGTAAAAATCACTTATTAACAATATTAATAATATTTATATTGTACAATCTTATTTTAAACCTATGTCATTTACAGGTATGTTTATATATCAGTGTTTAGCCTGGACTGAATAAGGAAAGAGATTCTTAGGGAATAGAGAATAGAATAGAATAGAATAGAATAGAATAGAATAGAATAGAATAGAATAGAATAGAATAGAATAGAATAGAATAGAATAGAACCTATTTTCTCACAGCATGGAAGCTGGGGTCTATTGTCAGAAAGTGGGGTAAAAAAGGTTATAGTTAATGTAATTGGCATACTCAGATGAAGTTAAAAGTAGCTGATTAGTGGGATATGCAACTTGTACAAAATGTTCATGTATATATATGCATAAAAAGAGTGACACACTGTTTCTAAAAATAAAATGGAGAAATGATGATGGAAACTGTCTATTTTTTTGGGAACAGTGATGTTTTTCGAAGTTTAAGAGCTACTGGAAAGGAGGAACTGTGATAACGCTCCTTAATGCATCTAGAGTCCTGCAGTCTTTCACAGTGCCAGTTTCATGGCTAATTAGTATGCATAAAAACATTCTCTCTAATCTTGTGCATATGTTAAGAGGCTGATTGAGGTAAAATTCAGTTAAATTGTTCTGAACCAAATTACAATAATAGTCATGGCAATTTATTGTAAAAGTCAAAAAGTGAGGCTGAAGAAAAATTTAATGCAGTCTTTTCAATCTATGTAAAAAAGTGAAATTTGAATGTTTACTTTAAGTTTAGTGCTGTCTTATATAATACAATAATCCATAGCCATTTAAGGGCAGGCACACAATCCTGTTAACATCAAATCAGATTAAAATTAAATTAGCTAAATTCCGATTTTTGGCTAGTTTGTTACATTTTGGTTCATTTGAGTACCATCCAATTGATACGATCCACGTCTGCTGACCTCTCAGTTGGAAGACGACCACTGTCTGGTCAGTTGTCGTTGGTTGTCGTCTTCCAACAATAAATCAGTGCTGCTGAGTCATTGCTCCTACAAATCATGATGTGCTGCACAGATCAGGCGTTTACAGATATTTTTAACACTTTGCTTAAGACGTGGCATTTGTCACACTGTTGTAAATCCTCCACTATCATCAACACTGCATCTGAAATAAGCACAACACACAGAGAATGCACTGAATGCTGAATGCACCTGAGGACACCTAGCAAGTAGGTAAACTTACAACTCAGTTTAGCAGCAATGCTGCCAAATAGAAAGTTACTGGGGAATTTATGTAAGGAAGAAAAATAAACTTTCCAAATTTAGAAATATACAAATCTAGAAGAAATTAATACATTTGCTATGTTATGAACACCAAAAAAACTGCCCAAGATCTAATTTGCCCGGGCTTTAGCATAACTCTTCAATAAGAGTGTCATAACTTAAGAAAAGGTAGTTGAAAAAAAATAGCCTTAGGCTGCATATCTTGACAAGTACATAAGCAAAAAAGTTTGACATGCTTGAAAATTCCTACCCCAAGAGCCCCACAAAAGCTCTGTGCATTGACTTGTGAATGTTTTCACCTCCTCAATTGAAAATGGATGCCTTGCACTCAGCAGCTCTCATGAGGTATTTAGAGCCCTTGGAAGCCAACAGGCTTATTTCCTGTTGATGATGTGAGTAAGAGTAAGTAAGTGACAGACGAGGATAGGTTTCCATATCCGCGGTGAGGAGAGAACATGTCTGCTAATGGTTGGAGCAATGTGGGAAGGACTGGATGGACAAACACACTCTTATGCTCATTAATGGTTACCCTGGGAATTGGGGTAAATGACCATGATATGGGATCTTATATGCGTGGTGTGGGGTTGGCTCCTTTGTTTGCCAGAATGAGATGAATTCATGGTTATACTTAAAACCGAGGATAGAATTTAAAAAAGGAAAGAGGAGCATGGAGATAAATGATCTGACTGGCAGATGTGCAATATTTTTGGCTGTTGTTTCTGTCCCTCCCCTCCAAAGAAATATTCATTCCGAAAACATCCTGCTTGGTGAGATATTTAAAATTGTGATGCAAAGTGCTCCATCTGCTGCAGGTTATAAAGATGCAACCTTTTGTTGGGAGGAGTTTACTTCTGACTTCATCCATGTTTCATAGATCAACAAACTCACGAATAAAGCTGCAAGTGTCTCTGAAAGCTGCAAATACTTCTATTAAATGTGTGAAAAAAAGATCAATTGAGACAATGTCATCTGACACCACTTGACCTGCCATCATGAGGAAAATCTATTAAAGGCTTCAGTTTCTCTAAACTTTTCTCTGTGATCAGCTTTCTGCTCTCACTTGAAAATACCCTCAAAGGGGTGCATACAAGAATTAAAGCAGCAGTGAAGATTTGATTTTGAAATGAGATTACTCATTAAACCTCAAGATTCCTTGTAAGGAAAGTCCCACACTGACATAGCATTTTCTTTTATGATGCAAACATACCAATAAAGAATTTACTGCTTGTTTTTTTGCTGCTTTTCCCAGCATTATTTCTGCTTTTTTCTCCAAGTAAGAAATATAAGAAAACTCTGTAATTTGGATACATTTCAATTAAGAAAATCTAGGATGTCACAATAAAAGATTTTTAAAGAATTATATGAAAGTTTTGGTGAAAAACTAGTTTTTTCTCAGCCACAAACAAGCATGATGTCTGGCCTTCATAGACGTGCAGAAGAATCTCTTCTTTCCTCTACTCATTACCTGTATTAAAGGCGCCTGTTTGGAGTCATCTGTATACAGACGCCTGTCCACAGCCTCAAATAGTCAAACTCCAAACTCAGCCATGGTCAAGACCAGACAACGGTCAGAGAACACCAGGAAGGGAATTGTAGACCTGCACCAGACCAGGAAGAGTGAATTGACAATAGAGAAAAAAAGTTGGGTAAATGTGGATGATGTACTGAGTTTAGGTTACCTCATATTTAGCCCTGTTCAATGTGGACCATCTGAAAATGGAACTGTAAATGGACTAAATTTTATAGAGCAAAATCATCACATTCACTCAGTCACACTCAAAAACATATAGTTTTAATCCACACCGTTTGGATTGCAAAATATCTAACACGTATCTTTAAACTATAAAGTGACATACTGCAGATTACAAAAAAAACCATCCCCTAAAAAATCTCCCTTTAACGTTTTGCCTTTGGCATTGTATTAAAACACCAATGATGTTTTAATGCTGTTTGCAGCTTTATAAATAAAACATTTATTTCATTTTTTCAGTTACAAATAGCACTGCTACATTTTTTTAGTGGGTTTAGCCATTTTGCATACTTGGAAACTATATCTTTTTTATGACATGATATATCCTACCATTAGCTGTTGAGGAGCAGATAAAATGCCTCTGCTGCTGGATTCTGGTGGTCTCTGAGTTTGATACACATGTTATAGAAAGTGGAAGGGTGAATTATTTTCTTTCAGGACGTTTCTGTGTTTTGCTTAGGGTATTTTTTTTCTTCTTTAATTAAACACTCAGGTAAGGCTTTTTAAAGATATCTGGACCCTGAAACCTAATATATGAAATTTTATTAGGCTGTACCTACTACTTATAAGGTCTTTAGGTGTTTCTTCCAGTTTTAAATCAAACAGAGAGCTGAAAGGAGGAAGAATATCGCACTGACACTCAGCAGGTAGCCAAAAGGAGCCAACAAGTTCAAGCCTGTTATTGGAATGCTGCCCTTTTAACTTACAGTAACTAGGATACATTCAAAACAAATCCAGTTTATATTTCTTTATTCTTTGCAGCAAACGACCCAATAGATGTAAGCACATTTTCTCCAAGTCCTTCGGACCCCCCTGAGGTTTTCAACCCACTAGGGGACCTCCCACCAGAGATCACTACTGAAAGCAATACTAACACCACTGATGGACACCCCCCAGAAAGACTCAACCCGGGATTGAACGATAAGCTCATCCCCATCTACTCCTCCATCCTGGCAGCGGTTGTTGTAGGACTTGTGGCCTTCATTGTCTTTAAGAGGTGAGTACAGTGTAGTTAAAAGTGCATATATTTTGCCATAGAGGTTGAAGCGCATCATCTTACAGAATAGGAATCAGAGAGCTGCATAAGCTATGTTACAATTAGCAACATTGCCTCTGATTTACCAGCTAAAAACTGAATAAAGTTTAACCGTAATGCTGCTACTTTTTCTTTTTTTATAATGAATCTATGTATTTGTGATGCTACAAATAAAAGTTCAATGATAAATTGATATCTGTTTACATCCTGGATATAATATATGGTTGTCATGGTTTTGGCTTTCTCTTTCTTTGCCATATTTTTTATATTTAATGAATCACCTGCGGCTGCTTTTCAATATTAGAGTAGTGTTCTTGTTTTATGGGTCACATTATGGTCCTCTAATCCATTTTTTCCATAAATGATGTATGCACAACATGTTTTAGACATTAATATTGTAATAGTTATATTAATGTTGCATTGCTTTTAGTATTTTGGAAGAAACCAAGAAAAGAAATGGGAGATTGTGAACAATTCAGCTCCTAACAAGTTCATTGCTTTAACAGTCTAGACCAGAGGTCACGGATTAGCGGACCGCGGTCCAGATCCGGACCCACCTGCTGGCTATTCCGGACCCAACCTGATTTAAAACATTTATAAATCACTGAATGTTGTCAGATGGTAGTGTATAACTTCACTTGTGCCGCTTCTCCTGTTTGTACGTTAAAGCCCTCGGGAACAAGGCTGCATGTGATGCATATTAGCCAATGAGATGTGTCAGTCAGGGCTTTTGCCACTAGCTACTTTAAGACACAACAGGCAAATCTATGGCAAGCCGGCTGGTGGGTAACGATGATGAAAAAATGTGAAAGAAAGTGTAGATTGCTGGAAGAAGCGCGGTGAACTAGTGACAGAAAAGTGAAATGGTGTGCTCAAAGATGACCATGCACATTTTTAGTATGTTTGGTTCAACCTGCTGCTGTGAAGCAGGATTCTCCACCATGAACAGAATCAAAAGAAAATATCGATCCGGGCTCAAAATGAAAATGTGCTTTGGAATGTCTTTATCACCATTCAAACCCAGGTTTAAAGTCTCACAGGTCAGCTAAAGCAGTTCAGTGTTAAATTCTGTTTAAAGTAATTATTAAAATTGGTTTCATCTATATCTAGTGAAAACTAGATATAGATTAGTCAATCAGGAAATTGTCTATATACCACACTGAACAATTGTTGTTCTTTACTTCAAAAAACACATTAGATTTTAAAATTGAAATTTTAACATTTTTCTTTTAAGTCAATATATAACATGGATGCATAAAATCCTCATTTTTTTTAAATTCTGTTCAAAGTAACAGATTATAATGAAAAACGTTACTGGTTGATGATTTTCTTTATTTCACACCCCGCTGATTTTTCATTGGTTACCGCTGGTCTAGACCATAGTAACAGTCCTGAATAGTTGTGTAGTTGTCAGATGGGGTTTCTTGCAGCAAGAGGGTCATCGGTTGAATCCCGACATGGTGCCTTTCTGCAAGTTTGCATGTTCTTCCCATTCATGCATAAATAACCCCTGATAGGACTATCTCCCAAAATACAATGGTTATTGTTACCCTTTTGTTTCTACTTATTCTCATCAGGTGGAACAGCTGTAAGCAGAACAAGCAAGGAGCCAACAACTGCACGACCAACACCAACCAGACTCCGTCACCGGAGGGAGAGAAGCTCCACAGTGATAGTGGTATTTCTGTCGACAGCCAAAGTCTGCAAGAGCAGCAGGGCCAGACTCAGTCACAAACTGGTAAATTCACTTTTGAAATGCTCACCAATACGAGGATATAAGTGCATATATGTATTTTTTTTCCTTTAAATGTTTCAGTTTTTCTCTATATTGTTCCACTTAGTAAGTTTAAAGAAATATTCCCCTTCAGGAATGAAGCATCTTAGACCTTCAGTTACATGTTGACAATGACCTTTCAAACTAGCAACTCAGCAGACAGGTCCACAAAACTGCAGGGTTTAGGAGTTAGGTTTTTTGGACTGTCCTCACTGCTGCTTAATTCATGTTGAAAAAATGTATGACTGTTACTGCATATTTTACCGCCTGTAAAACATTAAAGAAAGCAACAACAAAAAAAAACCCTCTACAAATAGTACCAAATCTGTTTCTTAGGTTTTTAGATACAGGATTCAGAATCAGTTCACAAAATGTAATTCTAAACAGCTGAATGCAAAACAATAATAAAATGGAAAAAATATTTTTATTTACACTTGTGTGTCCAAAATGACAAAATAGAATCTGTCTGTCTGTCTGTCTGTCTGTCTTTTGCATTCTTTTATTTAAGATATTTGTTGTATTTTTATAAAAGAGCTAGAAAAAAAACAGCCTTAAGTAAAAATGAAAATGTTTTGCATTCTCATTACTTGGCAACACCCCTTTAAGCAAGCATTTCAACTCGCTTTGACTGTTTCATGCATCTAACAGGGATTTGGTTGTTTTTAGGGGATTTTTCTCCCTCTTTTAGTTAAGGGGCTCTGATATTAATATCTGCTATTTTTGACTTAACGTCACTGTTTTACAGCGGGCTATCTCAATATTTGAAAAAAATGTTTGGAAATTATTTTCATAAAACCTTCAGTGTGTGTTTAAGAGAAAATTACATCCTCCAAAACGTTTCACCTCAGGCTTCTCAGTTGAGCTCAAAGCAGAGTCAGAGAGCCACTCTTATGTGGTAAAAACAGAAAAAAATAAAAAGATTTTTGAAAGGTCATCAGTTCTTAGCAATTACATGGTTCTGAGAACACATAATCTAAAATTTGTGTATTTTGGGTGTTCTAAACAAAATGTGATTCAAAACATTTAGCTGCCTAAGGCCGTTAAATTTCTTATCACAAACATAAGGACTTCTTATTGTAACTCCTGTGTGTTTTTCTGCCCTATGTTAACTTCTAATAGCTGTCTTCAATAATGAGCTGAGAGGAAATGAGGCTCACTTCAAATAATGCATACACCTTAGTGTGTTTCTTTGCACAGAGAGATCTGAGAATTTTTTGGACTGATTGTCTGGTTATCACCATTCCTCATCTTTCATTATAAATGATGTAGGATGAAAGGGTAAAGGGTGATTATTTTTCAAACTGGCCATGTAAATGGGTTATCACACAGGTGCCCAAGTGCAGTCATTAAGCACTGCTATCATCCAACCTATAGAAGTATCACTTCTCTAACAATCAAATTAAATGAATTGGCTCGTTATCAGGCCATGTATACCTGCATAGCCCACTTTATTAATCTCACACTGGAGAAATTCACCTTTGCATTTGACCCATCTCCTCTGGGAGCAGTGGGCTGCCATTGTGCGGCACCAGGGGAGCAGAGTGGGGGTAAAGGGTCTTGCTCAAGGAGCCAGAGTGGCAGTCTGTGGGGCTTGAACTAAGAACCTCTCTAAGAACATTAGGCCGCCACTCCCCAACTTATGACTAATGACTAAGAGCCGATGATACAATTCAAGATTTTGATTCTGGTGTTCAAGGGATTCATCTAAAAGTTTAAGTGTAGTTGCTGATGAGAACTAGACTTGCAAACCACTGGTTTATACTACACAGTGCTAGACTATTAAGCAAAAATAAACCATAATATTTATAAATTTTGTGTGCAAAAACCACTCACGACCCAGTTCCTTAAATCCAGGTATCTGGATCTGCATTGAAGTTCTGGCTTGAATAGGTCTTTGATCCAACACTTTGTATTGGATCCCCTCTTTTTGTATAAACCATAGAGAATTAGAAAATAACTATCTGTAAGTTTATGCAAGTAATTAATTCTAATTAAATAAAATATTTCAAATTTTTCCTTACAGTTGTGACTATCGATGAAGAACCTTGTCTGCTCCTTCCTCTTCAAACCAGAGAGAACGTGGAGAAGCTGCTTTCCCGAGGCAATGAAGGAGGAAACTCTGACCACATGCAGGACAGTGACTGGTGCAACCTGGCAGGTCTTCTCGGATACGAGGAGGAGCGGATTGCGACCTTTCAGCTGGAGGAGCATCCGGTCCGAGCGCTCCTGTCTGATTGGGCAAGGAAGGACTGTGCAAGCATCGAGGCTTTGTGCACAGCGCTTCGCAAGATCAACCGCGAGGATGTTGCTCAAAGTCTGGTCCTCAGCCCTGGTGGTACAAAGCCGACTGCTACTTCCGTGGTTTAACTTTTCTGCATAACTTTCAGCAAAAACTTAACACCTGAACCTTAATGTTTAAGTACTTCAAAAACAGTGTCTTAGATTATTCCACACGTTAACCCCTGAAACAGTTGCTTGATATTATGTCTTCATGATATGATCCAAGAAATCCCTAAAATTATATTTATCAAAAAGAATGTATAACATAACGAATATATCAAAAAAACAATTCCACCCAAGTCCACCCGTTAATTGCAAGAATATGTTTAATTAGGTTAATTATTTGAACTGTTAAACCAAATGGAAAATGAAATCAATTTGAAAGTTGAAAAAGTGCAATTCAATTGGACTGATGGTGATAAAATCCTCTAACCAAACACAGTGTCGAGCTGTTGTGTGCTCTGAACACAAATTTCCGTGGACAACCTTGTGTTAGCTTCCTTCTGCCTTATCCTCTATCTCTCTGGCCCTGCCACTGTTTACTCTATGTTCTACTACATCCACGTAACCAAAGAAGCAGAAGTGTTTCCAGACCTGACCTGCTCAGTGACATTATTTACATGCCATGTCAGACCTTTAAAATGTAATTTGACAAATGGCTTGCGTCTGTTACAACTGAGTTGGTTTCTTTTACTGGATGAGGTTGTCATTCTTGTAAGTCTTTGGATACGTGCAAATATGACGGCCTAAGGAGGTGAAAATGGAACCCATCCCTTCCCTCCCTCATTAGTAGCAGTGCATGTGGATATTCTTGTTTTTGTTTTGTTTTTATTTTTCATCTAGTGCTATAAAAAGTGCTAGTTGCAACCTGTGATTGTAGGCCCAGGTTTTTAGCCAGTGAAACATGACTCAAGTATCTCAATTACTCAAATAACTCATTACCCTAAAAATGGTACAAAACGTGTAGAAATCCTGCATACTATATTTACATCGTAAACAAGTAGACTACTAATGTAGGCATAGATTTAGTTGACATTCATAAACACCTACCGTCCGTAGCTCTGCATGCATGTAGTGTGCTGAACAAACACACAATCATATTTTTTTGTGCATTTGCATCTAAATGTATGAGAGAAACAGAAACAAAACTCTCAATTCTGCCACATATAAGGCAATGGCAGACTCTCTTGATGGGACCATATACTGTTTAATGTTGATATTTGTGGCAATTTGATTTGACTTTTTTTGGGCAACATGATGTATTACAGCAAACACACTATATAAGGAAAATGCAAAAATGAATTAAAGTGCTTAACTTGGGTAAGAAAGCTAAGTTATTATTATAAGTACTTTGTAACTCGCATAAAAAAAAATAAAGTTTTCATTTCGTGTTAACTCCTAGCTGACTCAACACATACAGCTTTAGTCTGAAGAACATTTAAATCCTGCTTTGGCTGACAATGTCTTCTTATGAAGAAGCTGAAGCTAATGGTGGCCTGTTTCCTTTGTTTTGGTATTTCCTGTCAGTTATTCAGTGACTGAATTAACTGCAGTCGAAACTTAGAGAAAAAGTTGTGCTTCTGGAACGTAGTGCTTTGCTTTGAATGTCATGCTATCTGGAGAGCACTCTGCCCTGATTATATCATATAAGATGAGTAACTGTGAGGTGCAGCAACCGGGACATTCTCTCTTTCATTGTTAATCTCGTTGTGAACTATTAAAACACTTGGATTATTAGGTAAAATCCTTTAAACCCTGTTACAATAAAACTCTTTAACATGTGAAACTACGACCATCAAACTTTTTGTTGCCAAAATTCTCAGGGAATTAGAGCTCAACTCTTAAACAGTCAACAACTGAATACATTTGCTTTAGGATGACTAAATATGTCATTATTCTTGCAATGGACAATCCTTCTAACGGACGAATTGGACGTAGAAACTGGTCTGTAGAAAAAAGCTAAATAGGAGAGTGGAGTTTTGTTTCCTCTTTGTTTGCAACAATGACTGCCAAATAAAAGGCAAACTAGCTGAGACAAAAGTCACAGGATGTATGAGAAATGGAGACGTTTCAGATTACTTCAATCAATGCAAAGGTAAAACCCAGGTATAAACGTTTATCAGCTCTTTCAGGTGAAAGCATGCAGACTGTTTTTACATTGCATTGTAGTCTCTTAATTTGAATTTGTGGGAATATTTTTTTGATCTAATGTGACGTTTTATTTTTGTAAATTGTGTTTTTTTGTTGAGGGCAATTTGGACCTACATTTTTTGTTCACTGCCTGTATGAGGAAAACATCAGAAGATACAAGCAACACGGCTAACTGACCCAACTCTCCATCTTGATCTGTTACAATGAAGCACAGATTCCTATTATTCACTAGAATACTGATCATAATGTGTTGTATTACTTTGTATGAAGGTATTGTTACTACTCCTAGTACTCCAAAGGTTGTTTGATTCCTAACAAGCAATTTCAAATGGTATTACATTTCTGTTTGATTGTAGCACTTAAATGTGTAATTATTCATGTTTTCTATGCATCACAAGTGCCTGGGAACTTCAGGTGAATGTTGATGTTGTACATTTGTTGATTTTAGGAATTTGTAAGTGTAATGAGCTTTTTTTTTTCTTCAGCTTGTAAATAATTAGCATTTATTCCTTAGTTTAGTTAAAGTCTTGTAGTTGCCGCTATACAGTAAAAATGTAAACATTGCTTACTCTATTACAGTTTATTATTACAGTTTATGTTTGATTTAAACATAAAGGAATGGAGCTTTATTTATAATTATTGTAATCAGCTGTTTCAAAGGTTTGAGGAAGGAAGAATTTGAAAATAAATTCTCAGTTATTTGGGGAATTAGCAAGTGCATCTAAGTAGAAGTGGTTTACCAAATTTTATGACACCTAATATAATTTCAACAAACAAGAGCACGTTTTTTTTTCTTTTAATAAAAGGCTAATTTAAGCATGTTTGTACAAACCCATTAGTGCCATATTTTACATTTCTTTTAGTTGTCATTCAGTTGTGAGAGTAAAGGCATACACAATAATTACCAATTTAAAATCAGCCATTAGAAGTTCGTTTGTGTAACTGCATGGAGCAGAGATGTGAAATCTTTATTCTAATTTAGCAAGCTGTAAGCTAGTTTGCTTATAATTAAACAAAATTTATAAATTAAAGACAAATTTCTTTCTTTTTAAGTCAAATCAAAATTGTCCATCGTATTTGTGGATCAGGTAATTCGCAAAGGTTTACAGTTTTAATATTTGCATGGTAGTATTAATATGTACAATATAATAAGCTATAGCAGACAACCTTCTTCATTAATAAAAATATTACAGGTTAGAGAATAAATGCTAAAACATTCCCAGATCAGATTATCTGGAACATTTCCACCAGCAACCGTGTTTTTTAGATCTTCTTCAAAGTTTAAGTCCTAGATTAGATAGAAGAAAATCCAGAGATTGTTCTATTAAGAGGTATCTGTGTTTTAGTTTTTTATATTCATAATGGATTTATCAGACTTAAATGCCGCATCCTGACTCTGGATTATCTGTACTTTATATGGGAATTTAGATTATTATGAATTTTTTTAATCTCAAACAATAGAAATAATTTCTCTTTCTGGCTAAAGACACTAGAAACAGTAGAAGGTGAATGTAATTACGTTGCACTTGAGGCACAAACTATAGCTTAATTATGCAAAAAGGGAGTTATAGATAGGTTTGGGTGAGAAAGTAAGAATGAAAAATCTTGTTTTTGGTGTGTATTTAGTGAGAAAACCCTGTCTTAGGAAACAATAATGGGAAACCAGGACTGAATTGTACATAAACAGTGAATGTTCCATGTACTAATACTTAAACATATATAGTCTTATATTGAATGTGAATTTACTTTCAGCGCTATTACTGTAGGCAAGCAGTAAATAAAGCTCATTAACTCACCAGTTTTCGTTATTTATTCAAAAATATAAATAAGCTTTATTAGCTTGGCACGTTGATTAAATAAAAAAACAAAAAAATGTAAGAGTCATTAAAATACACTGTAAAAATCGTTAAACAAAACTCAATTGTTATTAAGATTTTTTTGGGGGGATGTTAAGCATGTTCTAGCAGCTATTCGAAAAACTGAATGGATTTACATGTGATGCTAATTACTGCAGTGCAAGCCAACAATGCAACACTTGAGGCATTATGGTATGGAGATAAATTACCAAATAATTTGCAGTTTTATTCATAAATCAGAATTAACCATTAATACTTGCAACTATAAATTGTTTTAAGCATTGCAGTCATTTTCTTCCTACACTGCAAGTATGAAGATTCAACTTGGAAGTCCAACTAGTTATTCCAACCTAAACTGAAGTTTAGCTGCTGGCTTCTCATTTTTTTGGCATACATGTTTAATTATTTGATTGAGATTTCCATAATGATATGATAAATTGTTTTCATATAACATTTCTTGAAGAAAAAAAAGAGAAATCAAGAATTTCTCTTTTTTTATCTCCAAAAAAAAATTATTGAAAATTAACTTAAGCTCAAAATGCATTTAACTTTTTATGTACCTTTTTTTTTTCTTTACATAATTAGTTATAAACATCAAATCCCTTACTTTTCTATAAAGTTTGATTGACAACAAAGTTTGATTTGTGAAACCATTACCTTCAGGACTGAACAGGTCTATGCATATTCCTTCAGTTTATTTCTAACAAACATAAAAAAAAAGCTTAATTATTGAAGGGTTTAGGAGAGTAACATATTATGTGGTTTGTGGGTAGGAGGAGACCAAAGCAAAATGGGTTCTTTTTTTTCTCAGCTTACGCAAACTAATTGCATGAAATATGGCACAACGTGTTGTAAATGGTAACACTACACTATCATAACAGGCTGTCAGCACTGTTTCCTCTGCCTGGTGAATGAAACGGAAAATAAATGGTGCATGAAAAGGCACATGCTGTTTTCATATTGAGGCGTCACTGGGATTTCGTTGGTGGTTGTGTTATAAAGGTAAGAATTATACTGTGAGCAATAATTAAAGTATATAATTTTTTACAATTATTTTTAACTTATGCTTTCTTAAAATATAAAAAAGTGAAGATCTCCTTGAATGCATCTAAAATAACTAAAACTTGACAGTATATACATAATGATTTATTGATATAAACATCTTGATGAAATAGTCAACATAGCTTAATTTTATGGACAAATTAACATAATACAAGAACAAACCATTGAAAGTGAATTGAAAGTATGATCTTTTTGTCTTATTTTAGCAGAACATAAAAAATTCATGTGTTGTAATGATTTACCTCCCCGGATCCAAAACGAGTGGAAAAGGTAAGAAAAAAACAAGTTAATCACAGTTTTAAAGAAAAAAAAATTGTTATAAGAAATGTTTCATAGTCTTGGTTTTGGCCCGGAAATAAGAAAGTTAGGTGCAACTTATCCTATGGGATGTTAAAGTATTTTACAGGTTTACCTCACGATATTTATGTGAAATATCGAAGCTTCTCCAGATTCAACTTTACTTAGTTTTCATTGCTTTGCTTTAATGATGCATATCAAAATAAAATAAATCACCATGAATTTATGGCATATATACAGAAAACGTTATATAGATTGGCAGCCTTTAAAGGTTGAATATTATGCAAAATTCACTTTATAAACAGTTTGTAAGATTATTATGTGTCCTGAAGACTGTGTGTAAGAGTCACAAATGAAAATAACTCACTTCCTTTTTCTACTTTTTGGTTATTTTGTTCAAATGCTCTGTTTGAAAAGCATGCCCTTCATGATGTCATAAGGGGAAATAATCTGTCCAGAGCAGTCTGCTCTAGAGTCCATCAGTTAAGCTCCGGTCTTCATCTAATGTATTATTCTGTGTTTCGAGCCTCTATCTTTATGAACTTTGACTGGTTCTCCTTGTTACGGGTTTTGGAGGTGTGGCCTTCAGGAGGATAGGAAGTGAAAAGTAAAAACAGCTGGTCCAGACAAGGACCGAAAAGGGTGAATTATAGTCCATGTTTTCTGCCTAATCTAAGAGGAACTTTCCTGCACAAAAAACAAAAATATGCTCTTGGGACCTTCTTTTATTTTGACATTTAGCATAATATTGGACCTTTAATAGTAACACATGCAAAAGAAGGAAGGAAGGGAGGAAAACAATTTTCTGTACTTCTCTAACAAAACTGTTCACGGACATCCTCTTAAAACCTGCTTTACGAGTTCCACATGGAAATAAATGTGATGCAATAATCTCTAACCTGTGCAAAAAGTCTTGCTCCACCTTGAGATTTCTTGACTTGCTCAGATCAGATTTGCATAGGCAGACTATATAACAGCCAGGGCATCCAATATCAGTTAGTCAGTGACCCCTTCTTCAAATGGAAAACACATTGCCAAGCTAACCGCTGCCCAGCAGTGAGTCTTTAGCAAGGAAAGCTTCAAATGGAAAGAGAACCATGTGTGCAGAAGTGACCTATGGCGGTGAAAGGCAATAAGTCAGATTGAGTTTAGTTGATCAGTTGGATATGAAGTGCTAATTTAAAGACAATAAAGGCAAAATATTGTCACTGGAAGACACCTAATAGACTCCTTAAAGACTCCCATCACTACTAACCAATGTATGGAACATTTTTTAAACCTTTAATGCTGAAATAAACTGTTCTTTATTAATTTTGAATGATACCATGACAAGATCCTGAGGCCAATTGTTGTGCCATACATCCAAAAACATCACCTCATATTGCAGCAGGATAATGCATGCCCTCCTGTTGCAAGGATCTCTACACAATTCTTGGAAGCTGAAAACATCCCAGTTCTTGCATTACCAGCATACTCACCGGACATGTTACTCATTGAGCATGTTTGGGATGCTTTAGATCGAAGTATACGACAGGTTGCACCAGTTCCCGCCAATATCCAGCAAATTCGCTTAGCCATTGAAGAGGAGTGCACCAACATTCCACAGGCCACAATTGACAACCTGATCAACTCTATGTGAAGGAGGTGTGTTGCTCTGCGTGAGGCAAATGGTGGTCACACCAAATACTGACTTATTTTCTGAGTACCAAGACCCCCCATCCCATAAAAAACAAAAAACAAAACTGTACCTTTTAGAGTGGAACTTTATTGTGGGCAGTGTAAGGCACACCTGAGCACTAATCGTGGTGTGTAATCAGTATCTTGATATGGTACACCTGTGAGATAGGATGGATTATCTCAGCAAAGGAGAAGTGCTCACTCTCACAGATTTAAACTGGACTGTTAACAATATTTGAGGGAAATTGTTATATTGTGTATGTGGAAACAGTTTTAGATCTTTGAGTTCATCTCATAAAAAATTGGAGCAAAACCAAAATCGTTGCGTTTATATTTCCGTTGAGGGTAATTACAATAATTCATCAGTGCATTGCAACCCTGCCTTGCACTACATGGCTGCATTTTCAACCCACAGAAGGTTCAGATAATAAAACAGTTGGTTTGCAGTCACTGATTTGAATTAATAAAAATAGGAAATCTTAACAACAAAAGACAAACTGTTTCACCAAAAACTTAATTTAAAGCTATGTTTCAGAAATTACATTTCCTGAATAACAAAATCAGCATTTCAGAAACCAGTTCCAATGCTGCTTCATTCACTGTGTCTTATATGTCTTTATAGTTCACATTCTGTAAGTTACTAAGGTCCTCTTTGGAAATAAGGTCACAAGTCAGTGTTTT